CTGCTTGGTGTGCACATAAATTATTTGATGACTTGCAATAATTCCAGGTCCTCACACATCTATGGCTCACTAATTAGAAATCACTATAATACTTTCTAAACTGATCTATACTTGTAGCATGAACATACACTGTTTATACTTTGGACACATTTTAAATTGCTTAAAAAGAAACCATGGTCCATGTACAGCCACTCCTCACCTGTACATAATCCAAACCAGCAGAAATTTGAAGTAATGTGTGCGTAGGTGACTATTTTAATACTATTCACCGGTTCAGTGAGAGGTCACTAGATAAATGAGTTTGGCAGGGAAGCTGGTTGAATTTAGAGAGACAAGAAAAAAAAAGTACACAATATTTTAATTTTTCTCTCATTATGCTCTATGTCTGTATCTATACAACAAGAAATTTTATAAGAAATGCAGGGGGAAAAAAAAAGTACACAATATTTTAATTTTTCTCTCATTATGCTCTATGTCTGTATCTATACAAGAAATTTTATAAGAAATGCAGGGGGAAAAGTATGCTAGTTTTAACTCTGATTTTCCTTTCTCTTGCCCTCCATTGTGATATAGGACCCCATCTCTATGCCAAGCTCCTCAATTATTTCTGAACATCCTCAAGGACACCTTACTAAATGTCCTTACTAGTAAGCCAGTGCTTACTAGGGAGCCCAGAGAGTTATCACGTGGCATCTAACTTGCTTTACACTTTCCCCTGCTCCCACCTCCTCACTGAGTAGCACTGCATCAGCCGCTCTCCGCAGCTGGGATTTCTCAAACTGCCAAAGCCATGCAGTGTACTGTGAACTGCAAGAGAACAACCTCGCTCCCCTTCTGATAGAAATCTCTCAGAGGAATACACAGGGAATGTTACATTGCATACCAATGTCTTTCAAAGCTTTTCATGAAAATAGTTCTTTCTATTTTGATTCATAGCCATCTCTCTCCTTAATACCCAGACATAAGAGGCTGGGTTAGGGACACTGCCAGGTGACAGAGCCTCCACCCTTCAGATACTAAGGTTTGAGACAGAGCCAAGCTTGTCTGCTTGACAGTTCCCAGAGTGAGTCCCAATAGACCTTGCCAGCAGTCTCCCAGAAAACCCCTGCCATAGAGAAATCCCAGTGGCAGGCATGTCTAGGCTCCAGGTGGGTGGGGCTGGAGGTAGCAATGCTGGGGGACCTGCCATATAGCTTTAAGAAGCAGAGCTGGGATTCTGGCCCCAAAGCCCTTGTTCTTTCCACACTATGACCTTTGGCATCTTGTTAAAGACTATCATTTTTAAATGATTCATTAATAATACATAATTTCTATCCTATAACAGAATTACATTGTTATAGTCAATGTATTTTGAACATTGTCCTCTTTTCTTAGATATTATGCTGTTATAAGGTATAAAGGGAAAATCAGAAAGGACAAAACAAGAATGTTCCAAATGTTTTACATGCTTTAAAATCTTTTGCAGAAAAAAAAATAAATAAATAAAATAAAATAAAATAAATAAAATCTTTTGCAGACTATGCAGTGATTATCTAGCATAATGCT